TCTACCCACCAGGGGCCCGTTTCTCGAAAGTCCCGGTAACTTAACGGACCCGTAAGACGGTTCTGTTTTCATTCAGGATGGGAATTTCAAAAGTTTTGAAAACAACAAAATGAAACCATCAACTAAAGAAACAAAATGGAGTGGTTTGGGGGCCAGAACCTGCTTTTATATCCTTTGAATTTTTATATTAAAACATGGCCTCGGGTCCGCTAAGTTACCGGGACTTTCGAGAAACGGGTCACAGAACCCGATAGTGCAACAAGTGTTCTGCAATTGCTGATAGTGTTTTCTGCAATGAACCAAATTATGTTCCACCAGTACAAGTAAGTGCAGCTCTTAGTTTTGCCTAATATTGTTTAAGCAACCTTGAGATAATTATAGATATAACTGCAAAAGCACTCAATAATTGATGCCCCTAAAAATGAAGTACCAGTCCCACACAATTCACACACACATAAAATAGGCTGGAGCCATATTTTGTTTGTTTGTTTGTTTGTTTATTTGCCAATTTGGCCCACCAAAAACCCAGACTGCATAATTGCTACTTTGTTATCACAAAAAATTGTTCCAGAACTATACCAAAATATTTTATCATGTATCTGCTCCTTACTTTTCAGAGAAACACTCAAGCATCTACATCTTCTCCAACCAGTACTCAATCATCTGATGGCAAACAGGTGCATGAACATAAAATAATAATTTATTATAAGAATCAATTTCTAATTATAAAAGTTGTCATAATAAATGACATGGTGATGTTTTGGTATGAATTTTCTTAGGAGAGTGCTTCACAAAGCATGGCCAGTCAACTTGACAAAACACTGCAAAATAAGGAAATGACATCTTCAGGTAAACAACTTCCCACAAACTTACTATTTCTGTAGCATAACATATGTAATTTTTTTGCGTAATGGATTTACTAATTAAAAGTAATAAACTCTAAGGAGGCACAGCAACAAGAGGACACATGCAGGTATGATAGTCAGGTAAATCTAAAATAAAATGATTCTCTGATTAAACACTCCCTCCACATCATCCTCCACTTCATTAATATTTAAAAAAATAGTTATGAATCATTAGAAATGATTCTTACATTCAAATAAGTGTTAACTCACATACAGTAGTGGAAAAGCTTTTAATAAACATTATATTTTGTAGACCTTACCTTTGACCAGTTGGTCACTCAGTGCCAGACTGCTATGTTCAAATACTATGAAAGCAGACCAGAAGTACCACTCTATGACCCAGCTGTGATGAGGGACTTTAGTGAGAAGAATGCTTCTGGGCTTTTCGATCTTCTACTGAGGTCAATAACATAAGATGACAACAGAGTATTGCCTGATAGGGTGTTCCTACAAAGGCAAAGAACAGTTTCACTGTTACACATTCTATCATACTTCAGGTTTGTGGTTTTATTGGGCTCATTCCCGGACAAGTGCAGAGTTAATACAATACATTGAGTAAGAATTTCTAAAGCCACATGACATATCGTGTAGAGGTATAAATTAAATATTATAAAAATTACAGGTCACAGAAAACATGCCAGCTGCAAAAGGACAGTGGTTTGTACTCATTGCTTGGTGGATTGTCATTTACAGGGATTGTCTCCTGGACCAGTGCTCAGCTTCTCAGTTAATCCCAGAACTGTCCAGAACATGAAGACAGATATGGCCAAGACCCACAGTGAACATGTTACTAAACAACTACAACAAGTTAATGCTGTATGTAAATACACAAGACACAACATTGATACACACAGTTACACATACTTAGGGTTCAAGAATAAGGACCATGCAACAAATTATAATTAAACACATTTTCATTTTTCATCTTGGCTGCTTCATGATAAACCTCCTGGATGATTATCACAATATCCACAGCAAACATGTTCCAACTGACCTACAAAAAACCAAGATTGCACACATGGCCTCTGCTATGCTAGACATACATCCGCACATCCCAGCATTTAAGAGAACCAATGTCAGCCCACATCGACAAGTCAAAGTAAACATCAGGGGAGAAGACAAGATGTGCCTTGGAGGAGCAGACAGTTCTGCTGTATTATTACACATCAACAGAGGTCTCAAAGAAATGAAAAATCACTTCATCAATTAACTTCCAGCACAAATGAAAAATCTAAATCCAGGGAATTTCCATAATTTGGTGCAAAATTTTAGGTAATACATTTCTTCATTATTCTATGCCTGCCATTAAAATAGCATTGACTGGAAAATCTAGAGCACAAAATATGTAAGGAATACATGCAAATCTGTGAATTAAAAGATGCAATATTAATATTTAAATGACTATTTTACATGTTTCCTTGGGCTTACCATCAGCCCTGTGATGAAGATATTGAAAGCTTACAATCCTGTCAGCTTTTAGAGGAGTGTGAGGAAGACTTGAAGTCTCAAGAATTACAAAGAGTCTATAGAACACGTGTATCCCAATGTGAACAATTATCTTGAGAGAGAAATCTTCTTCCCTTCCCTGCAGACTGGCCTGGTTGGTATTATCCTAAAAAACTAATAGCTAACAACTACACTGGAAAGTACACCTCACTAATACCAGAACAAGGCCAATTCCACGTTACCTTGAATGCTGTGGAGGATACTGTAATCATCTTTAAGCATTTCTTTGACAAACTGTTCTCATATTTATTTGGTGGTTTGCTACCCAAAAAGCCACGTCCATACCAATCATCATTATGTGTTACAGCAGCTTTACTTGGCTGGCTTATGGTACGTGAACAAGTGCCAAAGAAGTTTAATTTATGCAAGAGTTACGAGTTTGTTTCCACTCTTTACCTACTGGAGGATGTTGTTCCACTGGTTTACTACCAATACCAAATTTTCAGAACAGGAAATTTAAAGCTATATATGTCTGTGATGGCACAGATGGCCATTCTTTTTAACACTTGGCGCAGACGGCATTACGACAAATCAACACTTTCTTTTCTTAGTGACTCTGATTACCAAAAGAACTTTCTTCCTGACTACTGGAAATGCAAACAGCACTGTCTTAACCTATTTGTTGAAAAAAAGATCAAGATATGGCATTCCATGCTACGTGCCAACACTCAAAGTCATGACAACTCTTCTAACATTGAGAGGGTAGTGAAGACCATAGCATCAACTGGATTTCTGACCACCTTTTGTGGAGCATTTGTGCCAGATTACATGAGGGGAAAATCAAATTTTAACTTCTGGCAGATTGTGGGCAAATCAGCAGAATTTATCCTAAAATTGTTTTCAGAAATAGCGAAAAACACCAAGAAAGCCCATTTGGTGAGTATCACTAATTTTAAATGCAAAGGGTCTTTTGGGAATGAAAGATTAAAAAAGTCTCACAAGAATGTGACAAAATGGTAAAAATGCACCTTGTAACTTCATATCAAATTGTTCAAAGCAAGTCTAGAATTTGATAAAAGAGATCCAATAGCAAGTGAACCCTTGTAATAATCAAAACATGGTTTCAAAAATAATGTTCTAAAAGAGGAATTTATTCTTGTGTATTCCAGATTCCAAGTGATTGATACAGTAATAGTAAAGCTAAAAGTTGGCCAAAGTTCAATTTTCCATCATATGGTATCAAAGCTGAAACGAAGTGTTTTCCGCTGTCTTACAACCTAAGTAAAACCCTGGGAAAAGAGCCAAATCCACAAGTTTGCTGTAACTTACCTGACTGCAACAACAATCATTATGGTGGTAACTTTGTTTGCCTTGCCTGTTACCACACATTCCATGTGTCCTGTTTATCAAGTGATGGCTGCTGTAGTATATGCAAAGAACCTTTGGAACAATTGATAAAGAATAAAGTCTCTCAGTTTAATGAAGGACTGTTGAAAAATGGAGGTACAGAATCAGATGGTGAATCAAGTGACCCCAAGACTGAAGATGACACGGCAACTGTGGTGAACAGTTAAACAGGAAATGCAACCGCAGAGCAGTACTACACCTCTGGACTCTGGGAACAGAAAGTCAATAGCAGCCTCTCAGCTATTGGAGAGATTGATCAACCACAACACCCTAATGCTCAAGCCTCATATGCACACACCCAGTNAGCAGACGAGTGTAAATCGAAACGAAGAACGCGTCGTGGCGGTTGAATCAAAAGTCGTCTCCAAAGCTCAGAATATTTACCGCGCTAACGACAAGTTTTCTCGTATTTCTCGGCATTTCTTTGGGGAAAAACTTCGGATTGTTCAAATTTTCAATTTCCAAAGCATAAAAAGGAGATATTTGTGTTTAGGTGCAAAAATAATGGAAGATTTTCTGTTCCTTTCTTGTCGTTATTCAACTGAACAGGAAAGAACCACGCATCACGTTCGCGCCGAAACTTTGATCTTGCTGTAATGACATCTCGCACATGCGCAGACGTTATTCAGCCCTGTCGGGTGTAGTTCAATTTTGTTATCTTTTGACTTTTGGTTTATTTGATTCCTGTGGAACTATAAGGTATGTAATCTTATTCACCCTACCCTAGCTCCGTACTAGTTGTCCTGGCTTAAGCAATTGAACCAAATTGAATGGATAATTAATTCATCGAACACAATTGCACTTTATTTCGTTAAATCATGGTTGGAATAAATTAAAAGCTGCAAATTGTTTTCGAACATAAGAGTTTGTTACATAAGTGGATCAAAGGTTGAATTTGCAAGTTTTGCATGTTTAGAAAACCAGAATGAATTATTTTAAGCCAAATTGGAACTTTCCTCTTCGGTTTTGTTCACTATATTTTCCGCGATTGGGTGGAAAATATTGCCCAAACACATTTCTATCTATCGTAAAAATAACATGCCAATTTTGAAAAGAGAATTCAATGGGAAAAAATAAGGAAAATAAAAGAAATATATTTTGATCCCCAAACTTAATACAGTCCAAGGTTTGAATAAAAAAATGATGTCAACTAGTAGCAATAGAAATGTCTTTATCTATGTTACCTGACTATGTTCAATTTCTTGTCTTGAAGTTTGAGAAAAGGCAAGTAGAGTGAAAATGAGGCAGAGCAAAAGGAGGAATGGACACAGATGTGCCAATACTGAAAACCGCTTTCACTCAAAAAGAAATGAGACAACACATTTTGGAACTCCCAGAGATGAAAGGCCTTACAAATGTACACAATGTGAGAAGAGCTGCAAAAATCACAAAGGGTTAAAGCAACACCACAGGGTTCATAGCGATGAGAAATCTTATCAATGTACACAGGTTGAGAAGAGCTTGAAGCATCAACGTGCATTACATCAACACACCAGGGTTCACAGCGGTGACAAACCCTTTAAGTGTGTGCACTGTCACAAAACATTTAATCATCCAGGAAATATGCGAAGACATCTCCAAGTTCACAGTGGTCAGAAACCTTACAAATGTACTCATTGTGACAAAACATTTAATCAAGCAGGAAATTTACAAAAACACCTCAGAGTTCACAGTTGTGAGAAACTGTACAAATGTACTCATTGTGACAAAACATTTAATCCAGCAGGAAATTTGCAAACACACCTCAGAGTTCACAGTGGTGTGAAACCTTACAAATGTACTCATTGTGATAAAACATTTAATCAAGCAGGAAATTTGCAAAAACACCTCAGAGTTCACAGTGGTGAGAAACCATACAAATGTACTCATTGTGACAAAACATTTACTGAATCAGGAACTTTGCAAAGACACCTCAGGGTTCACAGTGGTGAGAAACCTTACAAATGTACTCATTGTGACAAATGCTTTACTACAAAGTCAAACCTGACAGTGCATAACAGATCGATGGTACCCTTNATTATTATTATTATTATTATTATTATTATTATTATTATTATTATTATTATTATTATTATTATTATAAGGGATGGGAAATAGTGAAGGGGAAATTACAGATACTTCAGGTATTGCTAAAAGATGATGTACTTGACTGCAGGGTTGGACAGGGGAAAGTACCCCTGAGAAGCCATCATCAGAGTCAGGTGAAGAGCTGTCACAAGGGGAATTGTGCTAAGCCTGGTTCATGTAACCTGTTTGGTCAGTTTCTATGTGATGTTATTGGCTATAGGACTCAACTGCCTTAAGTTGCTCATGATTGCAGGTTAGTTACATTAGGTGGTTCTGTATGGTTCATTCGTGGACTAAATGTGAACAGTCATTTGTATGAATTATGTCATTAGTTGTCAAGTAGAGCTGAGTCCTGAATCTAATAACTCTATAGTGTCCTGATTGATTGGGTTTGTGAGAGTTATTGTCATTCGGATGCTTCAGTGTCACTTAGGGTACTTCTGAAATGAAATGAACCAATTGTTTGGAAATCTTGCCCAGTTTCGAGAATTCTTTGTTCATTGCTAGCAAGAACAAAGGATCACAAAATCCTGTACTTTCCTAACAGTTATAATGATTACTGAATCATTAATTAAAAATATTTCAAGCCAAATCAGAACTTGTATCTTCGGTTGTACAACCAACACTACATAATGACATCTACAGGAATGTGTTCATCTTCAAAGAATAACTGAATGGAAGATGTTCGATAAGAATCATTTCTATTTAAATTTTTTTTTAGTGTTTAGGTTATTGATGAAGTAATCTGTGTTGATGTTGTAGTTCCTGGAATAATATTTCATATGATCCCCACTCACGCTCTTTTGGGTCTTGATTGACCCCATCTTGAGGTTAATATCTATAGAGGGTCCCCTATACTTTTTATGTGAAGAGTGCCTGAGCGATTATTTTTTCTCGTGATTTGTGAGTAAAGATGATAATATCTTGTCATGTTGACGTGAACAAATTTTTCTATTTACATGTGACCTATCAATAAAAAGCTAAGTTAAATGTGATTCGTGGACCATTTTGTTTTGTGCGATTAATTTCTAGCTATTTTATTGTTTTGAAAATGTATGCATTAATGTCGAATGGCTCTGGTAGGTTTTGATCAGGGTTTTGACTGTACGTGGACTTCATATAAATTGATAAAAGTTATAAAACAGACCACGAGTGGTTCTTGAACAAATAAGATATGATGTCCTCTCTGGTAAAGACTACTCACTAGAAAGAGTAAAGTATTTAATCAACGCAATTGTCTTGAATTTTGCTTTAATAGGAAAGACTTTTGGATAGTATTTGTGATGCATGAGAAAGCGAAGTATTTTTACGTTACTGAGTTTTACAAAGGAGTATAGCAGACCCTCTCTATAGATAGTCTGGGATGGTTGTAGCAAAAAAGAAGAAACTTGAAAACAAAGACTAAGAAACGAAAGCCCCTTTATTTTCTTTGTATAAAAGGATCTTGTTATCATTTCATGGAAAAAATATCCAAATCCAATTTTAATCTTTCAACTTGTGACAAAACATGCAATATAATTAAANATGAACAAATTTTTCTATTTAAACGTGACCTATCAATAAAAAGCTAAGTTAAATGTGATTCGAGGACCATTTTTGTTTTGTGCGATTAATTTCTAGCTACTTTATTGTTTTGAAAATGTATGCATTAATGTGGAATGGCTCTGGTAGGTGTTGATCAGGGTTTTGACTGTATGTGGACTTCATATAAATTGATAAAAGTTATAAAACAGACCACGAGTGGTTCTTGAACAAATATGATATGATTTCCTCTCTGGTAAAGACTACTCACTAGAAAGAGTAAAGTATTTAATCAACGCAATTGTCTTGAATTTTGCTTTAATAGGAAAGACTTTTGGGTAGTATTTGATGCATGAGAAAGCTAAATATTTTTACGTTAATGAGTTTTACAAAGGAGTATAGCAGACCATCTCTATAGATAGTTTAGGTTGGTTGTAGCAAAAAAGAAGAAACCTGAAAACAAAGACTAAGAAACGAAAGCCCCTTTATTTTCTTTGTATAACAAGATCTTGTTATGGTTTCATGGCAAAAATATCCAAATCCAATTTTAATCTTTCAACTTGTGACAAAACATGCAATAAAATTAAAAAACGTTTTTTTAATTATATTGCAATGGAAAACTCGCAAACAAACACCCCTTATTTTTAAAATAACACGCCAACTTTGAAAACAGAGTTCAGTGAGAAAAAATGAGGGAAATAAAGGAAATACATTTGAATCCCCATATTTAATAATACAGTCCAAGGTTTAAATGACAATGATGTCATGCTTGATTAAATCAGCAATTAAAGTGTCTCTATCTATATTACCTGGCTATGTTCATTTTCTTGTCTTGAAGTTTTTGAGGAAAGGCAAGTAGAGTGAAAATGAGGCATACCAAAGAATGAGTGGACTCAAATGTGCCAATATTGACAACTGCTTTCACTCTAAAAGAACTCAGACAACACATTTTGGAACTCCCAGAGATGAAAGGCCCTACAAATGTACACAATGTGAGAGGAGCTTCAAAAATCAAAGAGGGCTAAACCAACACCAGAGGGTTCATAGCTATGAGAAACCTTATCAATGTACACAGTGTGAAAAGAGCTTCAAGAATAAACGTGGGTTAGATAGACACTTCAGGGTTCATAGCGATGAGAAACCTTATCAATGTACACGGTGTGAGAAGAGCTTCAAGCATCAACAGGGGTTACATCAACACCTCAGCATTCATAGTGACGAGAAACCTTATCAATATACACAGTGTGAGAAGAGCTTCAAGAATAAACCTGGGTTAGATAGACACTTCAGGGTTCATAGCGATGAGAAACCTTATCATTGTACACAGTGTGAGAAGAACTTCAAGCATCAATTTGTGTTACAGCTACACACCATGGTTCATAGTGGTGAGAAACCCTACAAATGTACAGTGTGACAAAACATTTAATCAATCAGGAAATTTGCAAAGAAACCTCAGAGTTCACAGTGGTGACAAATCTTACAAATGTACTCAATGTGACAAAACATTTAATCAAGCAGGAAATTTGCAAACACGCCTCAGAGTTCACAGTGGTGCGAAACCTTACAAATGTACTTATTGTGACAAAACATTTAATCATTCATCAAATTTCCAAAGACACCTCAGAGTTCACAGTGGTGAGAAACCTTACAAATGTACTCATTGTCACAAGACATTTAATCAATCAATAAATTTGAAAATACACCTCAGAGTTCACAGTGGTGAGAAACCTTACAAATGTACTCACTGTGACAAAACATTTAATCAAGCAGGACATTTGTGAAGACTCCTCAGAGTTCACAAATCACACCATGGGAACTGGACTCACGAGTGCATCTATTGCTGCAAAGGGTTTGAGGATCAGAGTAGCTTAAAGAGACATAAGTTTGGACAACTATCCTTAGATAGAGAGAAATTCACCTGTTGGATGTGTGGTGAATTTTTGTCACAATTGTTGTGGCATACTTCACCGCATGTATGAACACGGTATGAAAAAAGAGTAAACTGATATTTAGTTAATTATTTTGGGGCACAAGGGTTAATTAAGCTTGTGGTCTCTTCTGGTGAAGTCCAACACTTGGCTAATGTCTGTGGAAGAATGCAGTGATTTACTTTTGTACAGAGACATGGAGAACTTAGAACTGATATAGATGATTTTGCATGGCCACAGTGAGAGACGAACTTTCTTTGTAAGTGTTGAAAATTATTTTGCAAGAGAGCAAATTTAAGGTGGCTAGTACCAGTTTTCTTGCGTGAGGAGCAGGTCACTTTCCTGCATCAGGCACTAGAGAAACGTACAAAAGAAATGTGAGATTGAAAAGACAAAAATTCAAAATAAGTATGGTGGTGCAAGGCTTTTGTAAGTGTCTGCAACTTCTCTCTTATTTTGTAAGGTGTTTGCCTACCAGAGTGAATTTGATGTATTCAATGGCCACTTCTATGCAAGAGACAGAAACGAAGATAAAGAAGACAATTCGGGGCAACATAAAGGTTTCTCAGCATCTAAATGGAAAATATAATTGGTACGAGATCTCATTCATTCAAGCCTTAGTAGGTGCTTATCCTAGCACTCGCAATAATCAGCAGTAGTCATAATAGATCATGAGCAACTGTTGATATTATAGAATCCGGATTTTTCAAATACATAAGAATGTGCATGGGAATTTCTACACTCACAAAGGCTTTTGCGTGAAAACAATTACGGGTGACCCCTTCTTTTTATTGTTCCAATATAATATTAATGTTGAATGGAATGGTAAAAAAAACTAGAAATTTGTATGGAAGGACATGTGCACTGTGTGAAAATTGTATTTTTCTAAATTTTCTGAAATTCTGCTGTGTAGAACTATTTTTATATCTTTGTGCACTTTCCTTTTCAAATGCCAAAAGCAATCTCTTGGAAAAATCACAGGGTCATCCTGCCAGTAATTTTCAAATATTAGAGCCATAAGCTAAAAAATGCATCTGAATAATCCTTGGAAAGTGTTTTCATGGAAACTGCTAGAGATGAAATGACACCTATATTTAGAAACCCACATGATTATACAATTCAACCCCGTAAAAGTGTTCATATGGCCTTGGTCAGTCATTTTAATGTATTCTTTCAAATTCACAAACCATAAAAAAGATGGTACTGTTTTTCAACATAAGAAGAGAAATTTTGTATCTCCAAGCAGCAATGTTATTTTCTACCTATTTATTGTGTAAATACCAACTAAGAAAACAAACCATTACAGTTTCACTATGAAAGGTCTGACTTTTTTTTAGGTAACCATAGTAACTGTTATTACGTGTGTGTTTAACATGTTATTTTTACTTACTATGATGTTTTAAACATTTTAATTTATATAGCATGAAAAATAAAAGCACAAAAACAATATGGTTGAAATATTCAAATTGAGGTGAGAAAGATTGAGTCAAGTTTTATCTTTAATCCTTATTGCTTTTGCAATAACCAACCCAGGACTAATGGGTTCAATTTACTTAAATATTTATTGTCTTGTTACAGGGACAATTTTAATCCTTATTGCTTTTGGAACAACCAGCCCAAGGACTAATGCATTCAATTTACTTAAATAATCATTGTCTTGTTACCTTTATGATCTTATAATGTTGTCTTGTTACAGTTAGAAAAATTGTTAGGGGTAGTTACTTTGTTTTGTTATTGATTAATTTGCGAGGAATTGCCCTCTGTAGGGAGGGACTTAAAAATTTTTAGGGTTTTGTTTGGATGCATGAAGATGAATTAATTACTTAATTAAATAAAATGATCAAATGGTTTTACTATTAAATGCAGTTTGTTAGCAATACCAAAGTACACAATCATATAATCATGACTTGTAAGTTAAATTATGAGAATAACAAAAGAGGCTCCATCATTATGGTTTGGAGGGATACATGGGTTTGACTTGAAAAAAAAATTTGAAGATGGGAAATAGTGAAGGGGAAATTACAGATACTTCAGGTATTGCTAAAAGATGATGTACTTGTCTGAAGGGTTGGACAGGTGAAAGTACCCCTGAGAAGCCATCATCAAAGTCAGGTGAAGAGCTGTCACAAGGGGAATTGTGCTAAGCCTGGTTCATGTAAGCTGATTGGTCAGTTTCTCTGTGATGTTATTGGCTATAATAATCAACTGTCATAAGTTGGTCATGATTGGTTAGTTATGTTGGGTGGTTCCTGTATTTATTATTATATTTTTTTATTGATTTATTCCTGCTATTCACACATTGAAAGCATAGTTAATCGAGGGGAAGAATAGAGAAGAACAGTCAAAGCCGGGTGCTTAAATGGTATGGTTCGTTAGGGGAATAAATGTTGTGAAAAGTCGTTTGTATAAATTATGTCATTATTTGTCAAATGAAGCTGAGTCCAATAAGCCTGTAGTGTCCTGATTGATTGGGGTTTGTGAGTGTTATTGTCACTGGATACTGCCAATTGTCGCCTGGAGTACCACAGGGGCCCATACAATCTGTGTGTAGCCGACTGTTGTTTTATAGTGAATGTACTAGATTTACCGTTTGCCCCACTTATAGTGATATATTGCTGACTCTGTACATAAATCATTGATAAATAAACGTTGAATTACTTTTCCTGTGGTATATAGTTGTCCTTTTGCCTCAAGAATTTTTTTGAGCGATTTTGAATAACTCAGACTTGTTCAAAATCTCTCAAAAAATTTTTTTGAGGCAAAAGGACAACCATATACCACAGGTAAAGTAATTCAACGTTTATTTATCAATAATTTATGTACATAGTCAGCAATATATCACTATAAGTGAGGCAAACGGTAACTCTGGTACATTCACTATATAAAACAACAGTTGGCAATACAAACACATTGTATGGGCTGCCGGTGGGGGTACTTCTTAAATAAAACGAACCAATTGTTTGGAAATCTTGTCCCATTTCGACAATTCTTTGTTCATTGCTGGCAAGGACATAGCATCGCAAACTCCTATACTTTCCCAACAGTTATAATGATCTCTGAATAATTAAAATATGTGACAACACGAAAGTAACCCAACGCGTGTTTATTCCCCTGGCGTGTTTGTTTTAAAGATGCAGACACTTTGTGCCACCATACATAACCGGGTTTTAGCCGTTCACGCGGTAATCTTCTGATCCGTTATATTTCATGGCCAGGGGGTATTTCAATTCTGTTCGTTGTAAACTTGTCTTTTATTTATTTCTCGTGGAACTATAAGGTAGGTACTCTCACTCACTCCACCTAAGCGTAATGCTACTAGTCCTGGCGAGGCCAGTCGAACCAATTGGAATGGATAATGAATCAAGCACAGTTGGATTCAATATTCATTGACTGAATTGTATTTCGTTCGCTCACAGTTCGATCGATGAAAAACTGCAAATTGTTTTCGAGCGTGAGAGTTTGTTACAGAGTAGATCAAAGCTTGAATTTGCCAAGTTTTACACGTTTAGAGGACTAGAATAAATTATTTTAAGCTAAATAAATTATTTTAAACGTAAAGCTGAAAGACTGCAGGAAAGGGCCTTGAGAGCAGTTTTCAACGATAAATCACTCTATTATGACGGTCTGCTGAAGCTGGCTGAAATTCCATCACTGGTGAACAGAAGGCTCCAGCACATAGCAATCCGTATGTTCAAGGCAAAAAAGAACTTACTTCCTTGTCAAATACAGGAAGTATTTATGTCAGAAGTAAACTGCGATAGAAGATATTCTCTAAGAAATGCAGATTTTAGAATCCCACGCTTTAATACAGTAAAATATGGTAAACACTCTATAAGATACTATGGCCCTCTCCTCTGGTCGAAACTTACAAAAGAGTTACGCAGTGAAGACAGCCTGCACGGATTTAAGAGCAAAATCAGGAGAACGGACATGACTGTCATGATTGATGATGGATGCAAAAAAATGTGTGCTCTGTAATAGTTGATTTTTAACTCTAGAACATTGATAAATAATTTTAACTGTTAATAGGTTAGGTAAATAATCCTGTAAATAGGTTCCCGATTTCTTATTTTTAAAACTTTTACCCTGTGTCCCCAATTAGTGCTATGCGCTAGGTTTTCATGACACAAATAAAGTTCACTACTACTACTACTACTACTAAATTAGACCTTGCATATTCGGTTGTACGACCAGTTCAACACTCCATGAATGAAGGCCTTGAATGACATCTAGAGGATGTCATTCAATTTTTTTTTTTCAGTGTTTAATTTACTAATGAAGTAATCTGTGTTGATGTTGTAGTTCTTGGACTAATATTTCACAAGATAGCCTGACTCAGCCTCTTTGCGTCTTGATTAAATTAATAGGTGATGGATCACTCTCATCTTGAGGTTAACATCTATTCAGGGTTCCCCATACTTTTTACGTGAAGCGTGACTGAGTGATTATTTTTTCTCATGAATAGCGTCTATTGTGTTATGCCTCATTCTTCAAAGCCTCCCGACATATGTAAATGATGTGGACGGGTATTCTGAAGTTACTCCAAGATGATAATATCTTTTCATGTTCACATGAACAAATTTTTCTATTTAAACATGTCGACCCATGAATAAAGAGCTGAGTTAAATGTGATTCGTGGACCATTTTGTTTTGTGTGATGAATTTCTAGCTATTTTACTGTTTTGAAAATGTATGCATTGTTGTCAAATTGCTCTGGTAGGTTTTGATCAGGGTTTCGACTGTACATGGACTTCACATGGATTGATAAAAGTTATAAAACAGACCACAAGTGGTTCTTGAAGAAATAAGACATGATGTCCTCTCTGCTCAAGACTACTTACTAGAAAAAGTAAAGTAATTAATCAATGTGATTGTCTTGGATTCTGCATGAATATGAAAGACTTTTGGATAGTATTCGTGATGCATGAGAAAGCTAAATATTTTTATGTTACTGAGGTTTACAAAGGAGTTTAGGAGACCCTCTCTATAGACAGTCTAGGACGGTTGTAGCAAAAACAAAGAAACCTGAAAACCAAGACTAACAAGCGAAAGCCCCTTGTTATGGCTTCATGCCGAAAATATCCAAATCCAATTTTAATCTTTTGACTTGTGACAAAACAAGCAATATAATTAAAAAAAAAAGCTTAAAGGAAGACCCTAAAACAAAGACCCCAAGTATTTTCAAAAAAAGATGCCAACTTTCAAAAGAGAGTTCAGTGCGTAAAAAAGGAGGGAAATAAAGGAAATACATTTGAATCCCCATGCTTAATAATATACTCCAAGGTTTTTAATGACAATGAGGTCAGGCTTGATTAATCAGCAATTAAAATGTATTTATCTACATTACCTGACTATGTTCAATTTCTTCTCATGCAGTTTGCGAGGAAAGGCCAGTAGAGTGAAAATGAGGCATACCAAAAGACAGAGTGGACTCAGACGTGCCAATACTGACAATTGCTTCCACTCAGAAAGAAATCAGACAACACATTTTGGAACTCCCAGTGATGAAAGGCCCTACAAATGTACACAATGTGAGAAGAGCTTCAAAAATATACATGGGTTATATAGACATGGCAGGGTTCATAGTGATGAGAAACCTTATCACTGTACGCAGTGTGAAAAGAGGTTCAAGCATCAACACGGGTTACATCGACACTTCAAGGTTCATAGTGACAAGAAACCTCATCAATCTACACCATGTGAGAAGAGCTTCAAACATCAACGTCTGTTACATAGACATGTCAGAGTTCATAGTGGCGAGAAACCCTACAAATGTACTCATTGTGACAAAACATTCAATCAGTCAGGAAATTTGCAAAGACACCTCAGAGTTCACAGTGGTGAGAAACCTTATAAATGTACTAATTGTAACAAAACATTTAATCAAGCAGGAAATTTGAAAACACATCTCGTAATTCACAGTGATGAGAAACCTTACAAATGTACCCATTGTGACAAAACATTTAATCGTCCAGCAAATTTGAAAAGACACCTCAGAGTTCACAGCGGTGAAAAACCATACAAATGTACTCATTGTGACAAAACATTTAATCGTCCAGAAAATTTGCAGACACACCTCCGAGTTCACAGTGGTGAGAAACCTTACAAATGTACTCACTGTGACAAAACGTTTAATCATCCAGCAAATTGGCAAAGACACCTCAGAGTTCACAGTGGTGAGAAACCTTACAAATGTACTCATTGTGACAAAACATTTAATCATTCACCAAATTTGCAAAGACACCTCAGAGTTCACAGTGGTGAGAAACCATACAAATGTACTCATTGTGACAAAACATTTAGTCAAGCAGGAAATTTGCAAAAACATCTCCTAGTTCACAGTGGTGAGAAACCTTACAAATGTACCCATTGTGACAAAACATTTAATCATCCAGCAAATATGAAAAGACACTTAAGAGTTCACAGTGGTGAGAAACCTTACAAACGTACTCATTGTGACAAAAGATTAAATCGAGCTGGAACATTGCAAAGACACCTCAGAGTTCACAGTGATGAGAAACCTTACAAATGTACTCATTGTGACAAAAGATTTAATCGAGCTGGAACGTTGCAAAGACACCTCAGAGTTCACAGTGGTGAGAAACCTTACAAATGTACTCATTGTGACAAAAGATTTAGTCAAGCAGGAAATTTGCAAGCACACCTCAGAGTTCACAGAGGTGAGAAACCATACAAATGTACTCATTGTGACAAAACATTTAGTCGAGCAGGAAATTTGCAAACACACCTCAGAGTTCACAGTGGTGAGAAACCTTACAAATGTACTCATTGTGACAAGACATTTAATCAATCAGGAATTTTGCAAAGACACCTCAGAGTTCACAGTTGTGAGAAACCATACAAATGTACTCACTGTGACAGAACATTTAATCAATCAGGAAATTTGCAAAGACACCTCAGAGTTCACAGTGGTGAGAAACCTTACAAATGTACTCATTGTCACAAAACATTTAATGTACGACCATTTTTGAAAATACACCTCAGAGTTCACAGTGGTGAGAAACCTTACAAGTGTTCTCATTGCAACAAATGCTGTACTGCAAAGGCAAACCTGATAGTGCATAACAGATCATACCATGGGAATTGGCCTCACAAGTGCAGCTATTGCAGCAAAGGGTTTCAGGATCAGAGGAGCTTAAAGAGACACAAGTGTAGACAACTATCTTTAGATAGAGAGAAATTCACTTGTTGGATGTGTGGTGAATTTTGTCACAATTGTTGTGGGATACTTTACCACATGTATGAACATGGTATGAAAAAAGAGTAAACCGATGTTTAGTCTATTGTTTTGGGGCACAAGGGTTAATTACGCTTGTGGTCTCTTTTGGTTAAGTCCAACACTTGGATAATGTCTGTGTAAGACTGCAGTGGTTTACTTTTGGATAGAGAACTTGTAACTGATATAGATGATTTACATGGCCGCAGTGAGACACGAAATTTCTCTGTGGGCGTTGAAAATTGTTTTCCAAGAGAGCAAATTTAAGGTGGCTAGCACCAGTTTTCTTGCATGAGGAACAGGTCACATTCCTGCATCACACACTAGAGAAATGCACAAAAGAAGCGTGCGATTAAAAAGAAAAAAATTCAAAATAGATATGGTGGTGCAAGGCTTTTTTAGGGCTATGTAACTTCTCTCTTATTTTGTAAGGTGTTTGCCTACCAGAGTGAATTTGATGTATTCAATGGGCACTTCTATGCAGGAGACAGAAACCAAGATAAAGAAGACGAGTCTGGTCAACATAAAGGTTGCGCAGCATCTAAACAGAAAATCTAATTGATACGAATCTCATTCATTCAAGCATCAGTAGGTGCTCACGCAAGCACGCGTAATAATCAGCTGTAGTCATAAGAGATCATGAGGAACTGTTGCTCTTACAGAATCCAGAATTTTAGATACAGAAGAATGTGCATGGGAATTTCTAAACTCACAAAGGCTTTTGCATGAAAACAATTATGGGAAACCCCTTTTTATTGTTTCAATATAATATTAATGTTGAAAGGAATGGTCAGAAAGGGACTAGAGAATTCTATGGAAGGACATGAGCACTGTGTGAAAATTGGATTTTTCTAAATTTTCTAATATTCTGCACTGTAGAATGATTTTTATATCTTTGTGCATTTTCCTTTTCAAGTGCCAAAAGCAATCTCTTGTAAAAATTACAGGGTCACCCTGCCAGTAATTTTCAAATATTAGAGCCATAAGCTAAAAAATGCATCTGAATAAACCTTTGAAAGTGTTGCCATGGAAACTGCTAGTGATGAAATGACACCCATATTTGGATAACCACATGATTATATAATTCCACCCCGTAAAAGTGTTCAAATGGCATTGGTCATTGGTCAATCTGTAATGTACTCTTTCAACTATCAAAAAGATAGTACTATTTTTCAACACAAGAAGAGAAATTTCGTATCTCTAAGCAGCAATGTTATTTTCTACCTATTTATCATAATATATAGATTTAGCCAAGCCTAAAAGTGGAGCTCTTAAGTTCATATTATTAATGATAACATAATAGATGTGCATTTGCCAAGACTCGCCTGAGACACCCCTCCCTTTGTTTTGATAGTCTCCCCTACCCTACCCATGGAATCTGAAGGCACGTACGTACATACGCACGCTCAGTCAGTCACGTGATAACCAAACGAAAAGAGATTGACCATATTCCGTGGGTATGGGGCTCTGCCCCACGCATGTGTGGGAGCCCCGCAATAAATACCAATTAAAAAAAGAAACCATATCAGTTTCACTATGAAAGGTCAGAGTTTTTAGATAACCATAGTAACTGTGTAATTACGTGTGACTATTACATGTGTAGTTAACATGTTATTTTTACTTACTATGAAGTTTGAAACATTTTAATTCATATAGCATGAAAAATAATATCACACAAACAATATTGTTGAAATATTAAAATTGAGGTGAGAAAAATGTAGTCAAGTTTAATCTTTAATTCTTATTGCTTTTGGAACAACCAACCCAGGACTAATGCATTTAATTTACTTAAATAATCATTGTCTTGTTACATTTATGATTTTATAATCTTGTCTTGTTACAGTTACAAAAGTTGTTAGGGGTAGTTACTTTGTTTTGTTATTGGTTAATTTGTGTATGTAAGTCAGGAATTACCCTCTGAAGGGAGGCATTTGAAAATGTTTAGGGTTTAGTTTGGTTGCATGAAGATGAATTAATTATTTAATTGAATAAAATGATTAAATGGTTTGACTATTTTGCAGTTTGTTAGCAGTAGCAAAGTACACAATCATATAATCATGATTTGTAAGTTAAATTATGAGGCTCCATCATTATGGTTTGGAGGGATACAGGGGTTTGACTTGAAGAAAAAATCTGAAGATGGGAAATAGTGAAGGGGAAATTACAGATACTTCAGGTATTGCTAAAAGATGATGTACTTGACTGCAGGGTTGGACAGGTGAGAGTACTCCTGAGAAGCCATCATCAAAGTCAGGTGAAGAGCTGTCACAAGGGGACTGTGCTAAGCCTGCTTTATGTAACCTGCCTTAAGGTGGTCCTGATTGGTTAGTTACATTATAGGTGGTTCTGTATGGTTCATTCGTAGAATAAATGTTGTGAAAAATTGTTTGTAGACATAAATTATATCATTAGTTGTGAAGCGGAGCTGAGTCCAAAGTCCAATAAGTGTGTTGTATCCTGATCGATTGGGTTTGGGTGTTACTGTCAGTTGGATGCTTCCATGTTGATTGGGGTACTTAACTTCTTAAATAAAACAAACCAATTGTCTGGAAATCTTGTCCCGTTTCGACAATTCTTTGTTCATTGTTAGGAAGAACGAAGGATTGCAAACTCCTGTGCTTTCCTAACAGTTACAATGATTTCTGAATCATTAATTAAAATATGAAACAACACGAAAGAAAAATTATGCGTGTTTATTTCCCTGCTAGCTCCGGTGTAACAACCGGGGCCAGGTGTGTTTGTTTCAAATGTGTGGACACTTTGTGCCACCATACAAGACGTTACTCGCTCTGTTCCCGCGCTCAACTTTTGATCCGTTACATTTCATGGCGAGAGTTCACAGGGGCGAGAAACCTTACAAATGTACTCATTGCGACAAAACATTTAAACAAACAGGACATTTGCAAGTACACCTCAGAGTTCACAGTGGTGAGAAACCTTACAAATGTACTCATTGCGACGAAACATTTAAGCAAACAGGACATTTGCAAGCACACCTCAGAGTTCACAGTGGTGAGAAACCTTACAAATGTACTCATTGTCACAAAACATTTAAT